TAGAATAAATTTTATCTTTTGAATAGTACATTATTACAAAAAAAAGATACGGGATAATATTGTATTTATATTAAGAATTTAATACAGTAATATAATTAAATTAAAACGAACTAGAGTGTGGGTGTGGTTGAAGGAAATACCCACACTCACACACCCTATTTTTCAAGAAGCTTTGTGGCTGAGTAAGATACTTTATAATAATTCAATGTATTGTATTGTACAAATACAAGAAGCATACACTATTCATATGGACTTTTATTGCCACATATTGCTGACCACTTTTTTGAATGTTTCTTTATATATCTTGGATGGTAAAATAAATATTTCAAGTGTCAGTATCGATGGAATGAATGAAATGAAATAACCAAAAAGATAAAACCAAGAATCTCGAGCTGATTTCATACAACTAGATAGAAATGATATAATTAAGCGAGAAACAGCTAATGTAACAAGAAGGAATGGTGAAATAAGTAAATGTTTGTGATATTTAATTTGTTCAAACAAATGTTCTTCATATGACTTTGTTTTCTGAGATTTTGAACGAGTACGAGCTAGAATAAAAATAATAACTAATGAGGAAATAACATTGATCAAGAGTGGCAGTGAAAAATGAAAAATATTCATAATCCAATCAACTGTTTGCATAGATGATGAATATTTAGTAACACACCATACACGTTGTTCTTCTTCATCGTCAACTAAATTACGATGAAGGGGATCATAAATGAAAGTAATACTAATGAAAACCATAATAATCAATATCATCCATTTAGCCAGTTGTTTACTCTTAGTCTTGTTGAATTTAACTCCTTTGACAACATTCATTGCTCTTTCGATAGCAACAAAAGCACTAAGCCAATCATTAGTACATAGAAGAGATCGAAGTAGAAAGTCAATTGATAAGCATTGAATATAATAAAATGTACGATTCGTAATTGAACCAATATGTATAAGAAGTAGAAAGGAAAATTTCAATGCTAGGAATATAATTATTATCATAGAAATAATTGATGATGCATAGAGATAAATATAACACAAGCAACATTTTGAATGTGCTTTTGTCGAAATGTTTGAAAAGAAAGAAAAGCATTGATAGAACCAAAAACGAAAATAACAATAAATAACATTATTGTAATTTTTATAATGATTTGCTGTTGATTCAATCCATTACTCGAACGAATATGATAACCTAAAATGATGTCCAATGATAGAGTTGATCCTTTAGTAGAAAATTGACATTTTGATCCAAAATAACAATTAGGACAAGCGCAAAATGCTGATGTCGGACATTTATCATCACCTAGAAAACAATTTCCTTGATGTTCACAAAAATTTGAACCATTACAATCATATTTCATATTGTGATCAAATTCAAAACAATTTGCTTGTCGATCACGAGTGCATAAACAGATATGAACTTCATCATAAAAACAATTTAATTCAACATATGTTTGACATGGAATATGATAATATTTTACTCGTTTTAATATATGTCGATTCGAAAATAGTTCATCAAATAGTTCAACAATTGAACGACATCGATAAGAAGAAATTATTTTTGTTGATATTTGTTCGAAAATAATTGGATTTTCATGAATAATAATTAAATAATAATCTTTTAGGATTTGTGCGAATGCCATATGAAACATAACTGAAGTTAAAATTTTTTATTGAATATTCATCAAAACGAATTTTTTTCATGATACTCGTTCGTTTGGGTACAGCAGTTTCTTCAATCAAAATCAAATGAATCAATAAAGATGATGGAATAGTTTCAAGATCATCAAATGATAAATCAATTTCAGTTTGATTTTCTCGATATTCACAATGATCTCCTGTATAACCTTGGGGACAAATACAAATTGATTGTTTTTTGATTCGAATATCGATAACGTATATCTTTTATAACACATCGTTCACCATGAAGACATGTTTGAGATTGGCATGATGATTCAACTAAATAACATCGATGACCAAAACGACCCGATGGACACAAACAAATTGAACTGCTAATACATAATGAACCTGGTGCACAATTACATGTATGATTTACATTGCATTGAATACCCGACCAACCAGATTCACAATGACAATACGTTAAATTTTGATTATTGATATAAGAGAGACATTGCCCATGAATACATGGTGGCCAACATTGTTTCTTTATGGATTCGATCTTGAACATAGGATTTTTCAGTAAAACAGATAAACGATGAACAGGTAGAAAAGTAAATTCTAATGGATAAATCCAACTTGTTCGATGAGTTAATGTTAATTGATCAAATGCATCAATTTGAACTGAATATTTTTTTGAGGAATTTTTTGGTCGAGTCGAATAAAGTAAATAAGTATTATATTTTGTATTACAATCACGAATAGGTAAATATTCAATATAATTAT